CACACACACACACACACACACACACACACACACACACACACACACACACACACACACACACACACACACACACAAAACCCACTCCCAGTGCCTAACAAGGAGTACATTTCAGAGCTTTCCCCTAAGGAGGTGCCTTTACAAGGGCTTGGTCTCTGAAGGTGTGTGCCTCTGTGTGTATTTTTGTATGTATGGGTGTGTGCTTATATGTGTGTTCACTGTGCATGTGTGTGTGTCTGCATGTGAGCTGGTGAGTGAAAGTGATATGGCCAATCAGCCCAGAAGCATTGGTCTTAGACATATGGAGGGCAGGTTAGGTCGTTGTGTACAAGGAATGGGATGTGGCACACGATGGTCCACACACACACACACACACACACACACACACACACACACACACACACACACACACACACACACACACATTACACAGGCCCCTGGGTATCTGGGTAAAATGTGTCCTTAATTATCCCGGGTGGGGTCAGAGGACAAGCACACTCACGCACACACACCGGCTACAATGGAGCCCATTATGTCAGGGTACTTCGTTTCCCTGTTGCTATCAGCTGTGAGATCTGTCTTATCACTGACCTTATCATGTCCCTCTGATTCGTTAAAGAATGTTTAAACAGATTAAAGATTTTTTATGTTCCACATTTTCAAAGCTTTAGGTAATCTGTGATTATGAATAATGTTAACTTTAGATTAAATTTGATTCAGAGGAATTAGAGTTGTGCTTTTTGAAACAGCAGTAGCATATTTGACATATCTCTTTTCCCGAGTAATGATCCCATTTGACTGCAGAGGTTGGCCTGCAGATTCCTGACTGACCTATGTGGAAAATTGTTGAGGGTTTTCATTTTTGCTTTCAGTAAGCTTTATTGCCACAACAACTTAAGTACACTGGAAATAAAATAATGACCTAAAATAACTTCAGCATTAACATTCTAATATAGTACAAAGTTAACTGTGATGAGGAAATATGGCTGTTTTTTATATTTAATTTTTATTTACATGATCAACGCAGTTTGTCTGTTTGTCTGTCAGCAAGACAGTTCACTCACTGGCCACTTTGTTAGGTATACTTCAGTAGTTCTGAAGCGCACTTCTACAAAGGAGATTAGAAGCGTTGTAGTCAGAGCACCTTAACAAGTTCAGATACAGAAAGCAAAGTCAATTTTTAAGTAACACGAGACAGAAAAGCTGATTTTTTTTCTAGAACTGATGGGTAGTACATGGCACAAATTGAGTCTAATCAGCCAGTCACATGACACAAACTCAGTGCTTTTAGGCAGATATGTGCATATAGACATGCTAAAGTTTAAACTGAGCGTCAGAATGGGGAAAAGGTAATTTAAGTGATTTTGAATGTGGCATGGTTGTTGGTGCCAGACGGGCTGGTCTGACCGTTTCAAAAAAACTGCTGATTTGCTGGAATTTTCTTACACAACCATCTCAAGGTTTTCCAGAAAATTGTCTTACAAAGAGAAAATAGCGAGCAACAGTTCTCTGGATAAAACTGCCTTGTTAATGCCAGATGCCAGAGAAGAATGCTATGAATGCTTCAAGTTGATAGCAAGGCAACAATACTTTAAATAATTACTTATTTTAACTAAGGTATGCATAAGAGAACCTCTATATGCACGCATTTAATGCAGATTGGCTACAGCAGCAGAACATTACACCGGGTGCCTCTCCTGTTAGCTAAGAACAAGAAATTGAGGCTACACTTCAAACTGGCTGGTGAACAAGCCGAACTAGGAGACGCATAGTCAAAGGAACCCGTAAAGGTTTTGTGCAGATATGTATACCTTCTGTCATAATTGAACAATCGTGCACTGGATTTGACCCACAGTTGTTATCTTTGACTGTGTGAGCCATATTATGTGAGTATTTAGGTGTTTTTGCATTGTACGAAAAAAATAAATAAATCCATGAATGGACAGTAGTCACACACTAGAGTAAAATGCTTTCGCACCCTAAATAATTTCCCATACAGGAACACATACACACTGATTTATACACCAAGAAAGAATTGCTTTGTTACACGTGGGTGGAAAATGAGGCCCTGCCAAAGTCTTTTACCTGAACTGAGCTGTAGGGGCTAAACTGACTGGTCAACTGAGAAATTGTTATTTAATTTCTTGTCATCATTTTCACACTCATGTTAAAAATTCACCAGAATGTGGCCTGTGATTGGTTTGCATCCCAGCTTTCACTGTTAGATAAACTTTGTTTTTCAGCAGTCTGGCCAGAATAGTGGTCAGGAAGGCAGCAGTCAAACAAACAGTAGCGGTCGCTGGTCAGTACCTCACACTACACTTTAAGGCCCAATGGAGGAGACACATTCACACGCTCTCACTCTACACTGGCTGTGTCTCTCTTTACTCCCACCTCACACTTTGTTGTCTAGAGTCCTTTCTTCTTTTCCTTGTGCAAACTGCCTGTTAATGCAAGTTCACAGAGTGCAGTGGGTAAAGATTTGAAGAAGGAAAAGAGATGCGGTGATAAGAGCCGGTTATAACAGAGTCACATTCATGGTGCACAGACCTCTGTGACCACCCAGTAGTTCTGGTTGTTATGAGAAAATATAAGGTAGAAAAACGTTTCATACACCTGCAGCACAAAGTACCCTATGTCATGCTTAGTGCCCCATCTTTCTGCTAAAGCATAAAAACCAGGCTTATTAGAGTAACAGAGACATTGCCCCAGTCTTTCCTGTCATCCTCATACAAAAACATGTCAATAAAAAGATTTTGACTATACTGGGATTTGAGCCAGCTTTCAGCGATTTGCCTTTTTAAAAAAATTTTAAAAGTTTTTTTAAGAACATAACTCATAATGGTGTACATATAATATTTGCCAGTTCTTTAGTCCTAGAAGGAGCAGTGATTTTAGACTCAATATATTCTGCCCTTGTCTTGACCATAATGGTAAAAACATG